AATTGACTCATGCTGGACACAGGTCAAGCTCAGCGTACACACACGCGCACACGCACACGCACACGCACACACGCACACACTTACTTTTCCTTCTGTAGTGCTGAGCCTTGGATCCAGAGCTTACATCAGCCACTCAGCTGTGGCCCAGGTCCTGAAGTTAGTGTTTCCAACATCCTATGCAATTATATACTTGAAGACTTTTTTTTAATGTTTATTTGCCAAAACCTGAGACATTTTTATAGTGGTTTGTTTTTAAATACTTAAAAATCTTCTAAAGTTTTTTGTATTTAGGCAGAGTAAATGGAGAGAGGAACAGACCCACTAAATGCCTGTTTCAGTGAGATGGATGCAGAATAAATATTTACTATAAATGCGGCTTCTTTTAAGTTTCTTTTCTTTTTTCTGAACTTCAGAAATAAATTATTAGAAGAGAGTTCTTACTACTTGGTATTGGTGGCATCTGTAAATATGTTTTAGAATGCATTAATATTTACCTCAGGCTTTTGGATTCTCCTTGAGAATTGCATGTGGGAGGACACAGATCAGAGCGGGTTGACTGCATTACCGTTGCATGTTTCCCTGCTGATGGTTTGTTTCCATCTGTGGAAAACATGTCACTCGTGTCAGTCTTGCTGGCAGCCCACTGTTAGGCTGCCCTGCCTGCCTGAGCTCCTCATTTTGTGAGAGAAGCGTCTTGGAGTTTTAGTACATGGTCATCCAGATTATCTTCACACCTGCTGCTTTACACTGCTGATTGTTTTGGTGTTTGGGGAAGGAACAGACTTGAACTTCTCTTCATTAGTAAGTCTGTTTGTTGACGTTTTAGCTCCTGATACTGACTCAAGCATAAGGGCTCCCCGATGTAGTGTGACTGCCCCAGCTCCCCTGCCCACTGTCTGTGATGACAGGTTGGACGCTGGGTAACTGTTGGCATTGGTTATTATTGCGGACTGATTTCCCGTTGTTCACTAGCTCTGTGGAGGCCCTGGGAATCTAGACGTTAGCCCTCAGGGCTCTGACATCCCCGGGAGGACAGGTGCCAGCGACTGTCTGTGCAGTCTGGCTGTGCTTCGAGGAAAAAGGAAGCAGAGACGGTATGGAAGCCCGAATGGCCTTGTGGGCCCAGGTGTAGGTGTTGGAAAGACCCCCGTCAAGGGCTGTTAGAGACCTGGTGTGTTGACGCCTCATGTAAATGGGATAGAAGCAGAAGAAACAAAGAACAGGTGCACGGGAAGATGGCCAGAAAGTTCCCTTGGCAGGAGTGTGGTACCATGGAGACCACTGGATACAGGACAGGGCCCAGAGCTTGGGAAGCTGTCAGAGACTGTGATTTCATTAGGGAAGAATCCCTATGGGTGGGCATGGGCTGCCGTGGGCAGCATTTGAAAGGTGGGGTGAGGGTTTCGGTGGCAGGGAGCTGTCAGAGGCTGCTGCAGTCCTTGAGGAAGATGAGCTCATCTGGCTGACGCTTCTTCCTCCAGGCTCTGAAGGAAATGCAGCCCAGGTCAGTAGTGGTGGGACTGTGTTAGCTAGTGCTTGCTGCAGCCGACCAACTCGCGGCCATTAAGGTGGGCTCGAGGTCTTATCAGTAGCTTCACGTCTGGCTCCACGAACCTTAGCAATGGATGCTGCTTCTCACATTTGTATATGGGTGTGTGTTTGTATAACATATTCCCGCATTGTTATGAGCTGAACCTCATGTTCACATATCATAGCTGATTGAACACCTATCTTTTGTTCATTGTGAACATCATTCATTCAAAAAATGCTAATCACCTCCAGGATGCTGCAGCCCCGTGTGCTAGCAGTGCAGCTGTGGCTGGCTGTGGTCTTGGTTCTTAGGAAATCTGCGTGTGAAGAGCACTTTCTCGGGCTGTGGAGTGACGACAGAACCGTGTGTGCCCATAAAAACAAGGAGCAGATAGCGGCTGTGTGCAGAGAAGGTCGATTAGCGAGAGTTGAGTAAATTTACTGACTTCGTTCAGTTATTTCACTGTTAGACCAGCACAAAGTGTTTTATGAAACTCTGGCTGTTTAAGTATTAGGAAGAAAACGTAGCCGTTGTAAGCAGTATTATTCTTCTGAGGTCACGTTACAGCTGGTTGGGGACTTGAGTATTGTCTTTTCATAGATTATTTCATAATGAAAAGGTCTCTCCCACTCGACTGTCAGTTCCACAATGGAGGGAACCCATTTGTTTTTCCTCACCATTGATTCCCAGTACATAATCCCGTTCCTGGCACATAGCAGGTGCTTATTACTAAATAGTTGTTGAATGAGCGAACTTGTTTAATTTACTGAAACAGTGTGGAAGTTCATTTTTCCCACTGTAATATTAGTGGAGTAGAAGACCACCCATAAGAAAACCAGTGTTTCAGAATGAAACACAGTGTGACCCTGCGGCCCTCCCCCGCTGCTCACAAATACCAATTTGTGTAATCCTGCGGATACCTGTACGCTGTAAGTAGTCTTTCAGGCATTGCAAGATTCTGGCATCCTGAGTGTAACATTTACTGAAAACACAGGGCAGCAAAAGTTTACAGAGGTTGCTGCTCTGCTGTGTGTGTCATTCTTAAAGGTGCAGATATTTAACGGGATTTCAGTGGACTGAAGTGTGTGTCATTCTTAAAGATTCAAAACACTTGTGGTGTTCGGGAGAGCTGACGCCATTGTTATGTGGATTACCTCCTTTCTCCTCCACAAAAAGATTTCAGATAAAACTCGTTTGCATTTGTTGGATAAACACCGCAGTTATTTCGAAGACCACGCACATACGTGAGAGTGGTCTAAGGGGAAATGGCAGTGCTGCCGCTGGGCATTGATGCAGCGTGTGCTGCCCACTGCAGTGACGGCACCACCCCAGCTTGCAACTGGGTTCCCAGCTATTCTTAGAAAACCTTCCGACTCCCTCCTCGTGCTCTCAGCCCTGCTTTGTTACTCATCTCCTCTGAAGCCTAGGCTGGCCTTGAACTCCAGCTCAGGTTGGCATCAAACTCACTGTGCTTCAGCCCCTCGAGCGCCAGGGTCACAGGCATACGACACTCACAGGCCGCTTTCGATTTCTTAAGTCCTTTGATCAGTTTTCTGCTTCTTAAACTAGTGAGCAAGTGACAAGTTTTTTTGTTTTGTGAGCTATTGAAGTTCCTGTGGCTGCTGGGGTGGTCCATGAACCAGGCCATCACTGGGTTGGCAGAGGTTGGCATATAGTGTCAGTAAAGGCGTCAGGGGTCTCTGGATGCCTAGATCTTGACGTTTTCCTTGGGAGTAGTAAGTTGCCATGGTAGCTGAAGCTGGACCGCGTCAAAGGTAGATGGACGCAGCTCCTAGAAGCAGCAGGGGGTGGACAGTGAGGGCCCCAGCTTTAGGAAACAGTGCATCAGGAGAGGACAGGGCAGTGCGTTCAGGGACGGAGCGTTTGCCTGCACTGAGAGGAGAGGGTAGAGATGATTGACTCTCATTAGCTCGGCTTCACTTGAGAGCTCGCCAGGTTGGACCTGTCCTGAGCGCTAGTGTGCCTCAGTGGCCTCAGGCTGTGCGTGCTGGGAGGGTTTGTAGAGTGCACGGCCAGCCACCGCACTCTCCTACTCTCCACTGGGGCAGGCTGCAGGGCCCTTGCTAGACAGGAAATGTGGGAAATGGACCACAGTGCTTTGGATCTGCGTCCTTGATGGCGGATCCCAGCTTGTAAGTACAGCTAAAGGTCAGTGGGTGTGAAGTCCATCTGCGCTCAGACATGTGGCAGCCTGGGGGCTTGTGGGGTTTGGGCTCTTAAACAGGAGGCCAGGCTTGGTGGCGCACGCCTTTAATCCCAGCACTTGGGAGGCACAGGCAGGTGGATCTCTGTGAGTTTGAGGCCAGCCTGAGTTACAGAGTGAGTTCTAGGACAGCCAGGGCTACACAGAGACCTTGTCTGGAAAACCAAGACAAAACAAACAAAAACCTATGGTTGGAGGTTTCGGGGTCTGGAATCCAGGAGGGAGGAAGTGAAGGGTGCCTCCTGTGCATTGTTACTGTACTGGTTTGAGAGTGACATTTGCAGAACGGTGTAAGTGTGCGGAAGCAGTTCAGGAGTGATCCACACAGGCTTCATGTGAGTTTAGCCAGCAGTACAGGAGATGCTGGGAAATTCTTAGTCTGCAAATCAAACTTGCATATTCTCAGTAGAAAACTGAGGGAGACTTTGTGGGCCAAGTAAGGGGAGCTGACTTAAACTAGTAAGTCATGATGGAAATGGGAAGACCAGGGCACAGGAATGCTAGGGGGCCAGGAGTGGTGGCTCACACCTAAATCACAGCACTGGTGAGGCTGAGGCAGGAGGATTGCTCTGCCAGGCCAGCCTGAGTTACAGAATGAGAGTATGTCTACAAAGGCGGGGGGTGGGGTGGGGGCTGGGGGGTGGGGTGGGGGCCGATTAGAAGGGCTTAAGAAGTAACTGGATGTGAAGGATGTGCAGCATGCAGGGATGAGGAACAGGGAGGGGGTCCTTTTGCACAAAAAGTTGTATTTTATTGTTCAGTATATAATAAATATACCATATAGTCTAAGGATCTACAGAAAAGCTGTAAAGTCCTTAGAAACAACTGGATCGTAGCAGAGCTTTCTGTGTGCACTTAATCACGTCCAGGAAGAACGCTCAGGTTGGGTTCGATGGCGCCTGAATGGGATCCATTACACGCTGAGCTTCCTTACTGAGTGTCTGGGGAATGTAGCCCTGCTCGGTCATGGGGACCTGGTTCCCCATGACCACAGCAGAGCTGCACGTGATTTAAATAAGCCACCCACTCTTTCACACACATTTAGGATATTTCTAGACTTGTGCTGTTATAAATGAGTGGCCGTGCCTGGGCTTGCTCCATTGTATGATGTGGATTCACGTGGGGTTCTAGAGCTAGAACCACCCACACTGCTCCTCAGAACCCGCTGTGCCATTCCACAACCCCAGCAACCAGTGCTAGAGAATGCCAACTAAGTCATGTTGTTATTTTGCCAAAGTGGTGAGCAGAATCCTGATTTCCGCCGCTTGACTTTTTGTCTCCCGGTGACTTGTTAAGAATTGTTTGGGTTTCTGAATTTTCAGTCTGCATCACCTCTTATCTGTTTTCTTCCACCTTTGCAAAGGAGACTTAGGAGTTGCTTTTGTTTTTGTTCTGGGACACTCAGGATATTGATAGGTAGGTATGCACTCGTCCTTTGCTGTTCCTTATTCATGCTGTCTGTCTGTAGTTAGTGTCCCTAACATCATCATTGACAGTAGCCGGGCTAGCCAGTGACCCTTGTTCTCAGCGCTCAGAATCTTCCTAACAGCCTCATGAGGTGGGTGTCTTAGCACCTGGAGTTAAGTGAGGACGGTGGCCCAGAGGTGGAGGGTAGTGCCTTCAGCGGTCATTTTGAAGCAGCACCCTGTGCCATCGGATAGTCTCACTCCAGCAGCTACACTTGACACTGATGCTTTCTTTGTAAGGCCATGGCTTTGGGAGTGATCCCTAATGCATGACCGTCTTCTTCTGTAGCTCTTTAAAAACATCACTTAGGTTGTTTCTGTCTTAGACATTTCCTACATTATTTTCCAAATGTGTATTGTTGTTTTCCTTTGTGTGTGTAGAGTGCGCTTGTGTATGTGTGTTGAGGGGCTAGGAATTGACCGAGGGTCTCGTGATGGACAAGTGCTCCACCATTGAGCTATATTCCCAGTCTTGTATTTGCTTTAAAAGAAAGAGTTGTGGCCTTTCTTAGTACACAGTGAGGATGTAAAAATAAAGTTCCCCGGTACAGTTCTTTTCAGGTAGTAGGCCTGCTTGGTGTAGTACCTGGGAGATGTATTGGGTATGGTTTTTATTTTTATTTTTTTGGCTCTGTTTTTCCTGACAGGAAGACTTGACTTTCTCTGGTCCTTGTACAATATGCAGAGCAAGGCCTGAGCCTGCTGACCTCACAGAACTCCTGTGCACTCAGGGGCCGAGGAGCAGGTGCCAGGCCCAGGCCCTAGGTTAACACTGCAGTGTTGCTGTCGTGGCCGCCCAGGGCTGCAGGGGGCCTTCGCGGAGCCCCGGCATCCCTCAGAGTGGAAGTTAGTGAGCACATGGCCCTAGTGGATAATTCTTGATACCACATCCAAACCTGATTGCATGTAGTCACTTCCCTGCAGGAGTTTTGAAAAGCCTCAACCCTGTCCTACAGAATCAGACTCATTTGTAGCTGAAAGTTTTCCTGTGTCCTGCCCGGTCCGCAGCTGCTCAGACCCAAGTAAACACACAGAGGCTTATATTAATTCAAACTGCTCGGCCATTAGCTCAGGCCTACCACTGACTAGCTCTTACACTTAAACTCAGCCCATTTTTGTTAACCTGTATGTCACCACGTTTTCCATGGCTTTACCCATGTGACATTACATGCTGCTCCCTGGACGGCGGGCCAGTGTCTCCTGACTCAGCCTTCCTCTTCCCAGAATTCTGGTAATCAGAATTAGTGGTCTGGTAATTTCCTTTACTAAGCTGGGCTCTTAGTGTCCGCTCAGCCTTGTTAGTAAGCGGTGCCGAGCTTCTGCTGACCAGTTTGCCTTTGGTGAATTATTTGCGGAAGATCAGAGATGGTGACGACCAGCTGCTTCATGTCTTCTCCCTCTTGGGCATCTGTTAGTGCTGCTTTGTGAAGGCCTTCATTCATTTTTATTTTCCTCTAATTCAGTCATACGTTTTAGAAGTGGAAGTTGTCTCTCTTATTGAATAAATAATGTGTACTTCTGGTTCTGATAAAATATCAGATACACTCACTTTCCTGTTTTTATTTCTAGAGCTGTTTGATAACTACATGCAACAAGATGCCCATGAGTTCTTAAATTATCTACTCAACACAATTGCCGATATTCTACAAGAAGAAAGGAAACAGGAAAAGCAGAATGGCCGCGTACGGAACAGTGACGTGGACGCTGAGGAGAACAACAGCACACCAGACCCGACCTGGGTCCACGAGATTTTCCAGGGAACATTAACGAATGAAACCAGGTGTCTTACTTGTGAAACTGTAAGTCCATCCGAGCACTTAGTGTGGAGAACAGTGTGCTGTGTTCATTGAGGTTTTCCTGGGAGAACAAGGGTGTGGGAGATGAACTTGGACCTCTCAAACGAGGCCTGAGTGTGACGGGCACTTGTCAGTCTGAAGGCTTCTGCCTGTGCTTAGGCCGCTGTGTCTGATGGTGAGTGCTTTCGTAGTACAAGGCTGCTCACTGCAGTTTGAATATCTTGATTTTGTTTTAAAGACCTTTAGAATCATGTCATTGAAGCTTTCCGTAAGGTAAGATTATAGGGGACGTAAGGGTCATGAACGCAGTCATGAGTCTTAACCACAGGAGCCCGTTCTGTGCCAAGCATGGTTAGATAACTTCATCACTGGACCTTCCGGGGTATACTTACGTAGGTCTTGCACAGTCTAGACACGGTCAGTCCTTCATGGGAGTCTGAAGAGCGTCAGAAGACGGCTGACACAGGAGCGTGAGGTGGCCACAGCAGCGTTCTTCTCCAGGGGTGCCTGCTGAGGAGCAATGGAGGAATGTAAAGTGGAATCAGAAGCCAGAGCATGGGGTGGAGGGAGCCCGGGCACTGACATCTTGTCTGTGTGACTGGGCCGGGCTTCTGTGTGGGCAGCAGCACAGCAGACTTCCTGATGGCCCTCATCTCCAGTGCCTTATGCACACACAGCGATGAGATGGCTATGGTGTCGCGGGGGTACGGAACTTCTCAGTCCCCAATAACCTTGCAGGGTCACGGTCTTCTGTGTGGGCTGTTCACTGCCTGGTGTGGCATGTGACTGAGTATGAATTATTCCCCTTTTTCACAGATGTGCACAGCATCTGTTGTTGGAATAGAACGGTACTGTGTGCCCTCAAGGAGGGGAGCACCCTTTGGGTGGCCACTTGGTAAAGATGAAGCTTCACATTGGTTGCCAAGAATCAGATAGACCTGCACTAGGAAATGAACCAGTTCCCGTGCCTGAGTAACTTAGTGGTGGATGTTCTCCAGGTCAGGGAAGAGGTATTTGGCAGCAGTCTGAAGATGCTTTGTGCCTAGAGAGAGGCCGGCTGGGGTGGGAGCCTTTGCCATGGCCTGAGCGGCAGCTCCTTGCAGGCCAGGGTTGGATGCCGTCATGACAGCAGCGTTTCCATTGGAATAGTAGACATGCTCAGGGGTTTTATGTTTACTGCAATAGACATCGATCTGTTAGAAGACACCAGTACATATGTATGCGTATGTATGTGGGACATGTATGTATGCACACACACACTTCAGGCTTCAACGAAACAAGAGTTACTTGTTGAATTGTAGTAATAGGTGAGATTCACATGGTAGATCTGGGACCTCTGGAGGCCTCTGGGAGGGAGACCTGTGTGGAGTGCTCTGCTAGGCTTTGAAGTCAGGTTTGTGTCAGATGGGGAGGACAGAGAAGAAACAGTCTAAGGAGAGAGGGATGTCAGCCATGATGTTCAAGTGTTGGAATAGTTATTCAGGTAACTTGTAAGGGGTGGGTTCTGTTTTCCTACCAGTGAGTTCTTCTGTGGCCTGCAGTGTGTATTGCAGAGAATTTCCTTAAACCTAAATCTGTCAGTATGCATATTCACAGCAGGTTATCGTGTTCCTGGCCTTTCTCGAAATAAGCTAGCGGGGTGAAATCTGGGTTCTCTCTGGGGTGTAAATATACATTTTTGGGGGTGGGTGGGTGTATCATACACATTTAGGAACCAGTTCTGCTGGAGAGAAGGTGAGTAGAGGGTTGTAGACGATTATTAAGATGGAAGTCTGACTGTTAGAGACGAGGTGAGGTGAGGATGGCTTCCCTGGGTCCTGTGGTGAGGTCCTGTGCAGAGGATCCGGTGGGGGTGTTGAGGGGAGCCGGCTCCCCACAGGAGCTGGTTGGGGAAGGCCGCAGCGTTACCTCTGTTCTCTAAAGGTTACTCTCGGTCACATTCCTCGCCTTGCTTTTTTCCATTTTTCCCTCAAATGTGGATGTTCCCCGAGTTTCATGTATGTTGGCTGTCCTTCTGCATCAGGAACACTGTGTTCCATGTTCATTATCACATGTCCCAGTGAGTCCCGTCTAGACGTATCTCCTGACATCAGAATCTAGTCCAGTGCAACTGGGCATGTTCAGAAGTGAAATTCTGCCTCACTAGGTGACAGCCTGTGCCTCTCAGAACCAGAGTATGATACAGTGTACTTCACACATCACCACTCTGGGGAAGCTGTGAAATCTCATCTTCTCGGCCTCAGCCAGTGAGACGCTCAGGGGCTTTTGATGTCTTTCCATACAGGAGATGTGACAGGTGGACATTGGTTCGGTACCTTTTAGGTACTCCAGACCAAGTAGTTGTCTTTTGAGCATAAGGAGGAAGAATTGCTTAGTCTGTTGGTAGATACATGTAATCTGGCAGCTGGAAACCGTGGTTCTTGCTTGGCAATTGAAATAACTCCTATATTTACAGATAAGCAGCAAAGATGAAGATTTTTTAGACCTTTCTGTTGACGTGGAACAAAATACATCAATTACTCACTGCTTAAGGTTTGTGTAGAATTATTTCTTTTGCAATTTAATATTTACTTTTGGCATAGAATATTAAGTGAATTTTTTCAAGTATACCTAACATAAGTTATTTTCCGTTTTCCACAGAGGTTTTAGTAACACAGAAACTCTGTGCAGTGAGTATAAATACTACTGTGAAGAGTGCCGGAGCAAACAGGAAGCACACAAACGGTAATTAGGGTCTAGTTAGACTCTGTCGTTATTGGGAGTGTGTGTGCGCGCGTGCGTGCGTGTGTGTGCAATGGCACCATGGATAGAGACCAGAAGACTGCACTCAGGACTCAGTTGAGGAATCTTCCACCATCTGGGATTGAACTTAGGTTCAAGAGGGTATAACAAGCACTTTTACCCACTGAACTGTTTTGCCAGCCTCTTTTAAAATTATTTTAATGATTCTTTGGCCATAGATGTTGGTAGCCTTGTCTGTCTGAAAATGATCTGCAGAAGTGTACATTGAATGCTCCTTCTTAGTTGTGTGTATGTGCTGTTAGCATGTATGGATGTGTATGCAGAGGCAGAGGAGGACATTGGGCTTTGGGTTTTCTGTTCCATTGTTCTCCTCCTCCTTTTCCCTCTGACAGGATCTGTCACCAAACCTGAGTTCACTGTTTTGTGGTTAGCCATATGGCTAGCAAGCCCAGGTGATATCTTGTCTTTGTGCTCATTTTCCCCCACGTGTGTGTGTGTGTGTGTGTGTGTGTGTGTGTGTGTGTGTGTGTGTGTGTTTTGCAGAGTCTCACTATGCAGTCCTGGCTGCCTTAGAACTCCCTGTGTAGACCAGGCTGATCTCAAACTCAGGTCCGCCTGCCTCTGCCTCCTGAGTGCTGGGATTAAAAGTGTGCACCACCGTACCTGGCTCTGGGTTTTGTTCTGTTTTGAACACATGGGTCTGGGGATCCCAACCCCGGTTCTCAGGCTTGCACAGCAAGCGTTCTCATCTGCTGAGCCGTCTCTCCAGTCCCATTTTCCTAATGTTAGTGTTAGCAATCAAGGCTCAGTGAGAAGTGCCAGATGGGCAGTGCCCTGTCCGGAACGATAGATTACATCTGTGATTCATGTCTCCAGTTTTTTGGCTTAGCTGTCTTGGAAAGGAGTCTTTCAGATATGTGTCTTTTTCTTCAACCACTAGGTTCAAAATTTATAATAG